CTGCTGCCACAGTCACCAGGCAGTCGGTTCCTCAGATAAAAGATTGGTTGTCAAACAAAGGAACTCATTTTCCACACGACAGCCAGAGTGAGCTTGTTGAAAAGCAAATCTGATAGCATCGCCCCAACCTCCGTGACCTCTCCAACCCCACCCTGCTCGAAACACTTCAGTGATTCCTGGGGCCTTTAAGATGAGGGTTAAAACCTTTACAGAACTTCGAAAGCCCCACCCAGCTGTCCCCTCTCCAAGTGCACAGGACACTTACTGTGCTCAGCCTTTTTCTGTTCCTTTTGAAGGCGCCTTGCCCGTGCTTTTGCACTACCCAGCCCAGAGCTCTCTTAGGCAGCATCGGTGCTCGCTTCCTGTCCCCCTTAGCCGGAAGCTCTCTCCTTAGCCCAGGGGTCTCCCCTTCCGCAGCGGTGCCTAGATAGAGCCTCCTCAAATCCATACCGATCCTTCCTGCACTTGTCACATCTGTAGGTTAAGGTTCATTTGCTGTGTGTTTGATTAAGGACTGGTTTTTCAAGACTAGAGCTCAGAAAGGCACAGACTCTGCCTGATTTTCCTTCAGACTGTGTTTCCAGTTGCTAGAAGAGCCCCTAGCACATGGCTAGTACCCAAGACTGAGGACTGAAGGCAGAGACTCTTACACATAAAATCCAAACCGCCTTCCAGGCTTTGGCTATTTGTGAACAGCCCTCAAGAGCCATGATGTCATGGGCTGTGTGGTTGCCAAGGTCCTGTGAAGCTCCAGTGAGGGACTAGCAGCTGGCCCTCCATGAGCCAGTTGCCACGTCTTACAGAGTAATTCCTAAGAACTTACAACAGTTCTGTTCACCATGAAAGATAATAACACCCCCCCCCCCAAAAGCAACAACTGCTAGTGCTGGTGCCTCATAAGAAGAGCAAGTGAAGTAATCTAACACTGTCCTCTTTCAGGGGGGAGGTATGCGACGGGCATATTCGTGAATTTGACGCTCGATAATAGCCAACATCTACGGAACTCCGACAGTGGCTGAGATTGTGTCCTGGTGCTCGTGTGTGTTTTCTCACTGAATCTTCTCAACAGATCTCTTTTTATCCTCCGTTTACAGATGAAGAAACAGAGATTCAGAGATGTCAAGTGATTTACCCAAGGTCATAGCTAGTAATGGCACAGAGTAGACTTGAAGCCACGTGATCTAATTCCAGAGCCTGCACTCTTGACCATTACCGTTATCACCTCTCCCAGAGAGGTCCAGGATACATCCTTACCAGATATCAAGGGACTCCTGTCCTCATAGACTAAATACCTCTTTTCATAGAGTAGTTGTCCCTTAGTCTGACACTTTGAGTTTGAGGCAAGATTTAACTATAAATAGCTAAATAGCCTTCCTTTAGCTCCTTCCCTTTCCAAACATTTTCAATTGTGATTCATTTCTAAAATACAGATTGATCATCTCTCTCCCAGGTTGATGAATGTTCAGTGGCTTCTCTCTGCTTAAAAGAATACGACAAACCACTTAGCCTGGCACAAGGCCCCGTGAGCTGGCCCAGGGGTGTCCTCTCTCATCACCCACTACATCCTTCAAATAGGACTGTTAGCAGACGGCAGGCCAAAGACTTGCCTGCTTTCCTGCCTGAAATGGGATCCTGTCATCTTGAAATCCTATTCATCCACCCAAGCCAAGTCAACATGAGGAACAAATCCTGTATATGACGACAACAAGTATTACTATCATCTTAAAATAATTCTAAATTTTACTAAGTTCCATAATGTTCAACAAAGTCTGAGAGGAAGGATTAATTGAAAAAGACCTCAGCCTTTTGCAAACATGGGGTGGATAAGGTTTTCAACAGTAGGTTCAAATTCAGTTTCAAATCAGGAAAGAATATTTCACATCACCTCTGGTGGGTTTCTTTTTCCCTCGACAACTGTAAACCTACTAGAAGGCCTTTCTGGCAATTTTCTCAAAGTGTAACAAACTCTACTTTGTATATCATCTCTTCCTGTTTAATTATAAGGATTTGAATTTGCAGCCCAAATTAATCAGTAATTAGATAGTACTGAACCAAAAGAAATTAAACAAAGATAAAAACAAAAACACAACTCAGCACAAGACCACATCATCTGGTAACATTTCATGCAGTGTGAGAAAATACTCCCAGAGAGATACAGGTTAATTGAATCAGTAACAACGTATTCTTTAGATTTTTTTTTTATTGTTGTCAGTGGCCTCCAATGCCAGTGGGAAAGCCAGAGGAAATACAAACACAAAAACGCTGGGATGGTTCTAATGTTTATTACTCTTTTCACTCTTGGTCAGAAATCCAGTTTATGACACTCAATAATTGTTTTGAAATGTAGTCGTAGACTTCGGCAGTGCAAAACAAGTGCGTATTTTATAATGATACATTCCCTGTTGATCTTCATATTTAAAAAATTGAGTTAATTATCAGTCAGACCTCTAAAACAAAATGTTCGCCTTAGATGTGAAAAAAAAAAAAATCCAAAAAGATACAAAGCAGATTGAGGAAGGAAAAATAAAGGTCCCTGAAACAAAGATGTAAGTGGGGGGAAAGGCCTGACTGTATAGCAAGCCCCAGAGGGCAAGGGGACTTCTCCCTCTAGTCATGCCATTTCTCTGTGCCAAGCTCATACTGCTTACCCTGGTTCTCAAGCCTTTTGTTACTAAGAGAAAGAGAAGGTGGACGGTTGGAAAGAGAAGTCAGCCTCTCCAGTAATCCAGTCTTGAAAGACAGGACAGCAGCCTGCTCCTGTGTGCCCCCCACTGGCATGGAGTGATCCTGACAGTTGGGCTCTGGGGAGGGCAGACCGGCAGGGGAACCCCAAGGTCTAGACAGCAGGTTGTAGAGCAAACCTTTCCCCTTCAAGGCCTCCAATTACTCCCTCCCCCTGTGACTACATAGGGAGATAGAGTCAGCAACACATTCAAATTTATCTTAAGGCACTTTGAGTTCTTTCTCTGGTGCTGTTTCAGGAAGCTTTGTTTCTGTAAGACATTGGCATCACCTTTCCTCCCAAGTATGAGGCTCGTGTAAATTATGGATGTTGTAAAATCTTTTAATTGTGTGCCAAATGAATGAGCATTTTTTTCCCCGTAAGTGTATGAAATTGTCTTAAAAACTCCTGCAAAGTGAATTTCACTGTGTACTTTCAAGCTTGCTTTCTAGAAGCATTGAATTGCCATTCTCTGTAAAAACAAACAAACAAACAAACAAAAACACCTAATTTGTCTTTTGATAGAACAATTTGCCAAGAAAGAGGGGAAGGTGCTTTGAGAAGAACTATAGAAGGAAATTTGAAAGATTCTCCTCTTTTGGCACCTAGGATGGAAAGAGTAAGCTTTGTTTAGTAATTCAGGGTCATCATGGACATTGGAGAGCCGAATTGTAATGATTTTTATGACCTCGTGGTGAAATAAATTAAGCAGCCCCTAACTTTGGGGATACTTTGATTTTTCGCCAATTTATGAGTCTCTTTTCCCAGTGTATTGTGAAGTGATGCTATAAAGTCTCAATCTCTAAGAGTTCATCGCTGTTACAAATTATACGGCACCCCTTGAATGAAAGCCGTATTTGCCAACGTGACATTCATTTGTCAGTATGGTTTATTAATCCTCTGTTGTACTTCTTCAACTGTTCCCTAATTTGAAAATGGAAAATGTTCATCTCTCAGGAGGTGGCACAATTTATCTGATGTCAATGTATTATGTAAGTCTTTGCCTCTTGATATTAACTTCTTTATTGAAATAAGCTTCAACAAGCTGACTCCAGTTCACAATGACCATTATCTCAGGAACCTTCACTCGGGGTTCACCGGCCAAAATTAATGAACCAGAGTAACCTCTCCATCTCAATGAATGATTACCAGTGGCTCTTCACTGTAACAGCATGGTAACTCCTATGACCTATCCTTCCTCTAGGAGAGTATAGCAAAGCAGAGCACAGGAATTGAAATACCTCTAATTGCCTTTCTCCTCCACTCTCTCCTACTTCAATAAATGGCTCTAGTGAATGCTCACGCCAAAAGCCTGGGAGCCAGCCTGGATTGCTCCCTTTTGCTCGTTTCCCACCCTCGGTGCATGAGCCAGTCCTGCCAGATTACCTGCCACTGTCCCCACCCTAGTCCTAGCCGCTATTTTTCCTCTTGTTTTGACTCCTAGCAGGTCTCTCCTACTGGCCTCCCTGCTTCTGGTCTGCCTTCCCTAAAGTCCATTCTCCATATAGTAGCTCAGGTAGTTACTTTTAATCATATTGTGTCACTAGGCCTGCTTAACACCTTCCACTTAGAATAAAATTGAAGTCGCTCCCATGGCCACAGGACTCCACATGACCAGCTTTGCACCCCTCTCCCCTTCTCACCCAAAGCAGGTGGTTCTTCAAATATCTGGCACTCATTCCTGCCGCTTCGCCTTTACACAGCTGTCCCTTCTGCTAGGAGGGCATGTCCCTACCTCCTTAGGACTGACCCCTCCCCCTTCACACTTCACCTCAGATGTCATCTCCTCAGAGAAACCTTTCCTGACCACCCTGAGTGCAACCGCCCTCAGTCACTGTCACGCCAACCTGTTTATACCCTTCATAGCACTTGTTACTATCAGAAATTATTCTTCCCTTTTCTCTGTTTACTGATAATTGTGTTTCTCCCCACCAGCCTTGTCTGTTGTTCACTGTGTGTCACCTGTGCCTAGAACAAGGTCTAACCTGTAGTTATAGGTCTAACCTACACTCTCAATAAAACACTTGTCAGATAAATATCCAATGAATGAATCCTTCTCTTCCTCATCCTATAGGATTTTGACTGGATCACTTAACCTCCGGACCTCAGCTTCCTGATCTGTACAATAAAGCTAACAATCCTTTGGGTTTTCATGGGGAGAAGTTAAAGGAGCAAATGTGTGTAGTAGCATGTGATACATGGTACTTGTGGGGTACGTGGCCCATTGTAGGCAGAGTAAGCACAGATAACAGTGTCCCCCCCCCACCCTGTTTGACAGGAAATCTTCAGAGGAACTGGACATGGACAAGGTGACAGCAGCAATGGTACTAACCAGCTTGTCCACCAGCCCTTTGGTTCGAAGCCCTCCTGTGCGGCCAAACGGTAAGCCTGGGGTCTGGGGCACACGGAAGGGCCCCCTGACACCAAGAACAGAGCCTCTCTTTGAGGGCTCCCGTTCCTATCAAATATCAAACACAATAAACAAGTAACTGCCACCCATTAGCAGAAAGCAAGGGGAAGTATGTGTAGAAGAAAGGGAGACCTCACAACTATCAGCCTCCTGCTCATCTCCCCAGAGACCTCACAGCATCTCATCCATCCATTCAGCTCACATTTACTGAGCTCCATCACCTGTCCAGAACATATCTTTCAGTGCCTGTGTTCCTTTTTTCCTAGATAAATGGAGATTGGTCCAATGAAGTTATTTTCACCAGCATTATTTCTGTTCAATTGGACAGGCAGTTGGATCAAAGAACTCTGAATATTAAATATTTTGAAAAAGTATTGTCCCAATAGAATAATAACTATTAATCAAATAAAAGTATGTAGGTCATTCACTTATTCAATATATATTTATTAGGTACCATGCTAGATGGTTTGAATACATCATTGAAAACAGTGTTCATAATCATTCATATTGTACAGTTCCTTTGGGGAAAAAAAAACAACTATCATATTAATGGCTAGCATTTATTAAGCACTTACTGTATGCCAAGTGCTAAGCTTGCTTTTTATCATGTAATTCTCACAACTCTATGAGATGTTGTTATCACTGTTTTACAGATGAGTAAACTGAGGCACATGTGGATTAACATTTAAACAGCAGAGCTGGCTGAAATTCTATTCCATATCTTTCTAATTCCAGATCTGCTTAGTCGTGATATAATATTGACACATATAATTCAGTGTGATAAATTAGGAGGGAAATGAAGTGGGAAAGCTTGACCCAAGATCTATCAAGAGGAGCTATGTGTTCCTGCCTAGGAGTTTGGACATTAATCTGAGGCTGTAGGATAGGTATGATGTGGGCACTGGAAAGTTATGATTGGGTTTACAGGCAAAACCAAAAAACAGAACTGTGTGAGTGTCCTGGGCCTTGGTGGTCACAGTAGGGATGAATAGGACATAAATGAGAAATGTGAAGAAGGTAAAGTCGACAGGACTGAGTGATGGACAGAGAGGATGAAGGAGAGGGAACAGCCAGGGTGACTTCCCAGCAGTCGGTGTGCTTCCGGAAGAGGCCCACTCCCTAAGATAGAACAGAGTGGAGAAATAGATCTATGGGCAAATGTTTGAGCACGATGTGGGGTTTCTGAAGATGATGCTAAGTCTGGTTTGAGACATGTTTAGTAGTCAGAACCTGAGGATTTTTCAAGGGTCCATGTCTGGTGGAGATTTGGGTGCAACCTAGGACAGAGGCCTGGGCTTTCCGTGTGGAACTGGGAAGTCATACGAAGAGATGAGATCACCTCGAGGGAGTTGTGTAAAAAGAGTGTAAAGAGAGGATGGCTAAGGGGGATGGTAAGGCCCTTTATCAAGTAAGGGACCAGCAGAGGGAGAAGAGCCTGAGGGGAGCCTGACGGGTTACCACAGAGGTAAGGGAGAACCAGCAGAGTGTGGTTTCATGCAAGCCAAGGGAAAAGCGTGTTTCAGGGAGAGACTCGGATGCTGCAAAAGGTCAACCATGAGAAGGACTAAATTTTGCATCAAGTAGAAGGTCACAGGTGGTTTTGGCAAGATTATTCACAGCGGACAACCCCTGGGCGGAAGCCAGACTGAACTTCAGTTCAAACTTCAGTTCGCTGAAATGTCAGCCACTGAGACCACTGGATGAAACTTTGCAGCAAGAGAAAACCTTCTCTTAAAAGCCAGTCTAGTCAGTTACGGGACTGAGCTATGGTTCACACATAATTTGGTTTTAAGCAGGAGGTGTTAAAATAAGTATGTTGAACGTCCGGTGAGTCCCGACCACAACTTACTCCAATCCACCTGGGGTATAAGGTGCTCTTGAAATGAGCCTAACCGTCCCTATTAAATGACCTGATCGGGGCATGTTGGAAAACAGGTGTCCTGACTTCCGTTTCTCAGCTTGGCAACGCCACTAAAGAAAGAGTACAGTGAGAGCAAAACTGAAGGCACCCCCGAAAGCAATCATAGGAGAAAGGAATTGCAGAATTTCATGGAGTCCTCAGCGGAGAAAAAGTATATTTTTAATGTATTCATCATTTTTACCAAATACCATTTATTGCATTCTTTTTTAATTGAGAACATCTTTAACGTTCCTTTGTATTAAAAGGTTAGAATCAAAATAAAGTGTTCACTTCTTCAATGAAAACTTTTGTTAGCATAGTTATAAAGAAAGTAATTCAGTGTTCATTATGATTTAAAAAATAACTACCCAACTAATAATCCCAAATTGTCTATTATCTCTCATTTAGTCTACAACAGGAAGCAAATTCTTAAAAAAGGAGAGCAGTTTATGATAATGAAGGAATTACCAAATTTTTTAGAAATAAACTGTCGTGACTGTTTTCTGTTTCTGGGAAGAATCATTTTGTCAGGAGGTGGGTCTGCAAAGAGAGTAAGAGTCCAGCAGTATATGTCTGCATTTTGGGCAAATACTTATTTAAGAAGACAGGATCCTCTTAAAAAACAAACAAAAAAGGAAAACTCTGAATTGGTTCTGATTTTTTTCTGAAAAATCTATTTCTATATTCTATATCACATTGTCCTTCTGTTTAAATAGTGTTTCTAAAGGTCATTCACAAGTAAACAGATTAACTTTTGGCACTGACACGAAGCAAGGTAACCACACTATAATCATAGTTGATTCTCAAAATAAATTCAGTTCCTCACAGCGAGCATGATTACACATCTAGCACCATGAACGTATTTTGTTTTGTAAGTGCCTACTGCAGTGTATTTATAAGCTCCATAAGCCTGCCAAGCAAGTGTCTCACACCAGGTTCTATTACTAAGGCCTTACATTAGGCTCCTCTTGAAGTCGTGTTGTCCTGAATGGAGGTTTCTTATTTTCTACAGGCAACTTGGGTCCCGTCAGTACATCAGTCTCTGTGTAGACTGCAGAGGTGAGATGCTAATTTGGTTTTGTTGAGGCCGGCGAGGTGTGAGCCCGCATAAATGACCACTGGATTCTGTTAGAGCCTTGCTTTAATGATATGGGTAACTTACATCTGGCATTTCAACTTCAAACTTCAGTCTCGGAAGTGAACTTTTTGTTTGACCTGGCTGAGGAAGACACTAGAAATCTATAATTATGTGAAAGTGGTTAATAAATTTTTCCATGAATGTTAGTCTACTGTTTACCTTCATTACTAATTACACAGACGTTAGCAGCATATTTTAATGAGGCATTTTGAGATTCTTCCCCCCATGTACTTAGACTATAGTTTTAATATATTCAGAATGCATATAAATATGAAGCAGAAATTATCCTTTAAAAAGAAAGTAGAATTTATGCAAGTGCTAATTAAGATTGGGTATCTTCAAAGGTAAAGCAAATCTTCAGTGATTAAAAGAGCCCCCCCCCCACCCCGCCCAAAGACATCCTAACTGGGCAAAGATCTCTCTACATTAGCAGACATTTCATAATGTTTCCCCACGAGTGGAAAGGTAAAATTCAACACCAGTCTTACCAGTAATCATTACCAATAAATTCTCCTCTGATCTCCATTTTGCTGGAGACAAAGGAGGCTGCTCACAGCACAGGGCCCACACGCATGAAGGAGAAAGACCCATGGGTAGACCAGGGTTTGGGCCTCATGCCCACAGGGTTACACAGTAGTCATGTGGCAAGTCACTTAACATCCTGGTGCCTCAGGATCCCCATCTGTACAGTAGGCATAACAGTCCTTACTCTGAGAGACAGATGTTGTGAGAATGCATGAGATTGTGTGAATGAGTTCTGTGAAATGTAAAACATTCACCAAATGTAAGGCACTATCATTTGTTATAATAAGCAGCTGTTAAAATAAGGTAGATGGCTTTAGGTAACTATCCAGAAATTATTCTCTTAGGTTCTTAAACCTTAGACTAACTTTTTCTATACATGTAATCCAAGGACCACAGACCTATGAGAAATTCCTTTTAAAAAGTTAAAATAGGGGATGGGGGTGGGGGGAGACCAGTGCCAATGATTTCTTTCTTAGAAATGTAGTCAATAAATACATACAGGGCTCCCCAAACTTAGTGAACAAGAACATCTTATTTTTTTCTCATTTTCATATAATTTCCACTGTCATCCTGAGAAGCTAGTGTTGAACAAAACAACACACGTCAGAAAACTGTTAGAAAAACCTGTTATGTGATTAAAATAGCGAAATGTTTATCAACTATAATACGATGCGATTTTTTTTTTTTTTTTTGAGATTCTGAGTAAATGTTACATACGCAGCCGTTGCAAAGTATGGAGTGGGCTGCAAGCGCTTTCAAGAGCATAGAATCGAGGTTCCCCGTGCTCCCACCCCACCCCCACGTTCCGCCCGCAACACAGCCAGCTCCCGCTGACAGCACTGACACTGTGTTTGTGTGCACGGACAGAGGGCCTCAGCGGATCCTGGAAGGAGGGAGGAGGCGTGCCTTCCAGCAGCAGCAGCAGCGGCTACTGGAGCTGGAGCGCCCCCAGCGACCAGTCCAACCCGTCCACGCCGTCGCCGCCGCTGTCGGCCGACAGCTTCAAGCCCTTCCGCAGCCCCGCGCCGCAGCCGCAGCCGCAGCCCGACGACGGCATCGACGAGGCGGAGGCCAGCAACCTGCTCTTCGACGAGCCCATTCCCAGGAAAAGAAAGGTGGGTGTCGGCCACGCCGTTTTCGGGTTTTGGTTGCAGGAACGGCCGCCTTCGAAGGGCGGGCGTGAGCCTGGCGTGGCTGTTCTGCATTCCTGCTGCCCACGTCCCTTGGGAGCCACAGAAACAGCTCGTGCTCCCCTCTGACGTTCTCTGACGTTTCAAAATAAGGATCACGATTAAAAACAAAAATGATCACATCATTGATACGTTTCTTCCAAGTACACGTGTCCCCGGCCCCATCCTGTGGACGTTTCAACGTAAATTAAGGGTCAGGATTAAAAACAAAAATAATCAAATCACTGACATGTTCTTTCTAAGTACACATGCCCCCCCACACCCCCCATCCTGTGGTGTAAGAATTAACAACAGGCTTCAGATTGCACTTCAGGCTTGGTTTGGTGATTCACTCTTCGTGGGACTTATTTTTGTGTGTGTGTGTATATAAAATAAAGGTAATACTCTATTTTCTCTTTCCTGCTTCCGTAAGCCCTGAAGGGTTGTTGGGAAGACTATTTTGCGTCTAATTTTTATAAAACCGGGTTGAAACTTATATGCAAACTGACATATAAACCTATGTACGTACCTACATGCTAAAAATGATATAGGTGCCAAATTAAAAGTGAAAAAGGAGACCTAATTAATTGATTATACTTTCATTTAATCCTCACAGCAGTCCTGCTGGTAAGTATTCTATTCCCATTTTGATAGGAGAAGGTTAAGGAGCGAGAGGTTATGCATCAACTCACTGCTGTCATGCAGGTTAGAAAGGGCTAGACCTGCCATTCAAACACAGGTCTGCCTGGACCTAGAGCTCAGATTCTTTTCATTTTCTTCACATACATTGAAATTATTATGTTTACTCACAATTTTTGAAAAGTATTGCTATTTCATAGAATAGAGCAATGCTACTGCTACATCTAGAAAACACTTTAACGTTATTTTTTTAAATCGCCGTATAAATGTGAAACTGTTACTTGATATGTTGGTATTTTAATTTGTCATTGGTAGCTTCCTTATTAATGACTATTCACAAACAAAAATCCAAAGCAAAGCCCCGAGTACTGCAATGCAACCTGTTTTTTTTCCCTCCAATTCATTCCAAAGAGCAAAACAAAGAGATGGCATCGGTCCAACTGTCCCTCCCTGCTTCTCTCTCAGCATCATTCAGCATGTGTAACAGTAGAGGTTGTACAGCCTCTCTCTCTACCCAGAGAACAGGGCATTCATGTGGTCTCCTGTCCTTCCCAGGGGCAGTGGCATGGAGAGTTGCTGTTTTACATACAAGTCCCCTAGGTGGAGGGGGAAGGCTGGAGTGGCTCCAGCATCCTGTGGGGCCCCAGGGACTGAGTCTTCACTCGACTAGTCAGAGAGACAGGCTGGCACTTGTATCGGGGGAACCTGCGGGCAAGTTGGACCCAAAGCCTGCAGGTCTGTGCTTCAGGCTGCACAGACTTTCTCTCTGGGGTCACCTGAGTATGTAGTTGTGGCTCCCATCAAGCAGGTCTTGGCATTGTGGCAAGGACTCCCGGCCCGGGAACCCCCGCCTCATAAGGTGCGCTGCTGAAAGCCTGCCCCAGCCTTTCGTCTCTAATGGAGCCACACCAGCCAAATTCACTCTTGCGTTACGTTAAGTTGCACTGGCCACATTTGTACTTAAGGTCTGTCAGCTTCGACTAAATTAGGGGATAGTCAAGTCACCAAAGGAAAAGCGCAAAAAAGCTTCATTACAAAGTGGCTTCATTTGAAGACCCACTCTGCAGTATACGGGGTAGTTGGAAAAAAACACATGAATAAAAGCCATATTCTTCCTTCTTTCTTTCTGACTTTTCCAGCTAATCAGAGCCTGGATTTGCCCAGAGGAGTACCCCCTGCTGGCTGAAGCTCACCATCACTAACTTTTAAATCAGGGATCTTACATAGACGTTGCCTTTTTATAACTTAAAGTTACTTTGAATACTGTAATGAGAATGTGGGATGGTTGCTGCTTATTTTTGTATTTATTAAGTGAACCAGCACAATGTCTTGAGATTGAGACGCAGCCACTTCCATTAAGATTGGATGCTGGGTGGGTGGACACTGATGTGTAAAGAGGCAATAATGACTTGGGGTGAAAAATGCTGTGCTCATAATGTGGTAGAAACACGGTAACTGTGATGCGGTTGTTTTAGAGCTTTTAAAATCCTTTAAAGATTTCTAAGAGTTAATTTGCATAATCCATTAGACACTATGTTCTAGTTGGTGAGATGCATCATATCCATTTAAGACCATGGGCAGTTGTGATGGTCATATGTCTTGTGGGGATTGAGAACCTTCTAGATCAGTATTTTCCACACTGCAGGTTTCAATCCACTAGTGGGTTATGAGTCAATTTAATGAGCTGTGAATAGCACTTCTTTAATGAATAGGACAGAATAGGATGCATTGTACTCAATCAGGGTAAGTGTGGTTTCTTGATGTTTTTGTTTCAATTATGCACTTACCTGGGTAATGTACAAAAATTTACCTCTTACTGTGGCTCATGGTTTAAAAAGTTTGGAGGCTCCTGTTCTATGTTGTAAAGAGATAACATGGTAAGTGGTAAACGAAGGAGCACTGAACAGAAATCAAGATCCACATCCTAAACTCAACTTGGCCACCCTGAGAACTTAAGAAGATCCTGTATCCCTTTTGATTATCAGCTTCTTCACTTATAAACCAGGCAAACAGGTACTATCAAACCTCTCTCAGGATAATCATGAAGATTAAATGTGACCATAAGTAGAAAGGATGTACAAGCCCTAAAACCCCATGTACTGGAATGTAGCATCATTATAACAGACATTTTTAGACCCTATACAAAGGGGGAAGCAACATTCCCTAGATGGGATTATGAAGCAGAGGTCCTGATCTTTCTCCTCCTTATGAAAGCTCTCTCATCTCTTCTCCTATGTCTCCCACACATGGACATCTCACTCTGACCTCTTAAGGTGATCCATGTTCCTCTTACGGAAGGAGGAAGAGAGTATGAGATGTGCTGCCTAGACAAGGCATTATCTTTTACTATCAGCAGTGATGGAGAAACATTTGCTGGTAACAACTGCATTTGCATATTTAGTTACAATTTACAACATGCTTTTAACATGTTTTTAGCAGTTTAACAACTATGCTATACCTTGGCATAGTTGTATCCCCATTCTGCAGAAGAGGCTCACTAAGGTTACATGAATTGCCCAAGGTCCTGTAGCTTATAACGTGGCAGAGATAAGATCAGCCTAGCTGAAATAGCCAAGATGAAATTTTGGAAGCAAATTCAAGGAATCCACATTTCCCTCTGCCCACAGAGGAGAATAACACGGAAAGAAAATAATCAGATGCAGCTACAGCCAACGTTATTTGGCAGGGTGGGATTGGGGTGCAAAGGATCCAGAGAGAAATCCAAGGGCAGAGAACAGAACTCCAGGCTGTCTGCCACAGCCCACTACTTCCTGAATGAAGTACCCATCGCTCTTAAGAGGACCTTTAGCCAAGGTATTGGAAATGGGAGAAACAGAAATGAAAGCCTTCTTTCTCCTGGCTCTGGAGATCAGCCAACCAACTACCTCAAGCCCAGTGCTAGCAGAATTTTTTCTCTGGGATTTCAGAGGAACAGACAGGCAGTTCTTCCATGCTCAGAGAAAAGCCAGGACCCAGACTACAGGGGACATGCAGTTCCGGTCATGACCACAAGGTGATGCAGTGACCCTAACTACCGACACCCTGGGAGCCTGGGAGAAAACAGTCTCTATAGTTTACCATCAATCCCAGAAGACCTCTAGAAAATCAAGAAGTGCTGATAACTACTTATGAATATGCTTTTTTCCATGTCAGGTCCCTAATTCTGTCAGATTCTAAGTTTGTCCATCCCTAAACAGGATAAGAAAGTCCGGGCTCTGGAATTAGCACCCCAGCTCAATACTTATGTATTGAGCAAGTCGCTTGATTTCTCTAAGCCATGGTTTCCTTGTTTGTAAAATATGGATAATGATAGCACCCCGCTGATGAGGTTGTTCTGAGGATTATATGAACATTATTGTTCATATTGAACATATCGTTCATGCTGGCTGCTAATACTTTGCTTTCCTTTCTACCCATTTGACAACTGACTGAATAGAAATTTGAGAAGCGTGGGTGTGGAGAGAAGGGGGTGCTCACCTCCATTCTCCATCCTGTCCCCACATTGACTATATCAGTATTGCTGCAGCTCAAGACACTGGATCCCTCAGCCACTTCAGCCACCTTGGACTTATTTAGGGTTAATGGGAGAGGCCAGCCTACGTTCAGGTGAGGGGTGAGGACAACGGCGACGGGCAGACATCAGGGGCCATACAAGGAAACCTGACTCAGGACTCCACATTTCAGAACATCAGCAGCAACTCAAAGACAATAACTACATTCCAGCCTTCATTATTCTCATTGATTTTACAAGTGTCTTGACCACGAACCATCTTACCCGGGGACTAGGGAGAATCCCAAGTCAGAGAAAAAAAATGCTGAGTGATCATAAGGTGCTCCAGCAATAGTTTTGCGAGTAGTAAACAATGAATTAATCACTTGCTCCACTCTGCATTTTCAGTCTTTCAGAACCAAAAAAGCAGTGAGTCACTTTAAATTGTGAATGACTGCTCTGAAAAGAAAACAAATGCGTAAAGCCCTCACGCATAAGCTGTTCCCAGTCTCTGCGCTGACTTAATTCCTAGCCCACTAATTCTGAGCAGAGAGTGCCTTCTGCAAGAAGAACCGCTGTTCCAGAAATAGACCCATCTGTTAGAACTGCTGGGGAGGGCGGTGCTAAGAAAAGCAGCTCGGGGTCACACCGTACGGATTTCATGGTGATGACACAGCATCGCCAGCCAGATCAGGGGAGCCGATTGGCCACGGAGAGAATCAGCACACAGAAGAATGAGATCTAGGCACTTTAGTGATAGGACCTCAGAATAATCTACCACGCTGTACAGAAGATCCGGAGTATTGGACCTCGAAGG